AAACTTATGAACTTCTAACAAGAAAGTTCTACTGGCCTAGTCTAAGGACTACTCTTCAAGACTATATATCTTCTTGCACTACTTGCAACTTGAACAAACCTACACGGCAAAAGCCCTATGGCCTCTTGCAGCCTCTACCTATACCAGAACGCCCATGGGACTCCATATCCATTGACTTTATAGTCAAGTTGCCTCCTTCTATCCCAAAAGGGGGTGCTACCCCTTATGACTCTATCCTTGTGGTGGTAGAAAGGCTCACAAAAATGGCACACTTTGAGCCTTGCAATGAGACTATCACAGCTTCTGAACTTGCGTGGCTATTCCTCAAGGTGGTCTTTAAATATCATGGAATTCCTGGACACTGGATCTCAGATAGGGGAGCAGTTTTCACTTCAAACTTTTTTAAGGAGTTCTCTAAACTCTTAAACATGGAACAACGCTTCTCTACAGCTTATCACCCTCAAACAGATGGCCAGACAGAGAGAGTCAACTCTGTACTTGAACAATATCTAAGAATTTATACAAACTATGCTCAAGACAACTGGGCAGATCTTCTCCATCTTGCAGAATTTGCTTACAACAACACAGTCTCTAACACCACAAAAGAGACACCTTTCTATGCAAACTATGGTTATCACCCTAGGTTTGAAGTGGCAGAACTTAATTGTCCTGAAAATCTCAAAAACCCTTCTGCTACTGAAAGAATCATCTACCTTAAGGGCCTCCAGGACTATCTCAAGGTCCAAATACAGCGTGCACAAGACGAGCAGGCTCAGGCCTTTAACAGGGGGGTGGTTGCACCACAATTCAAAGTTGGTGATCAAGACTTTTTGTCTAGAAGACATATCACAACTACTAGACCATCAGACAAACTTGATACTAAAAGACTTGGACCTTTAAGATCACAAGGACTATTGGCAAGAATGCTTTCGAGCTTGCATTACCACCTACTTGGACTATCCATAATGTCTTCCATGCATCTCTCTTGTCTAAGGCACAAGAAAGTTCCTTAAGACCACTTCAGTCTCCTCCACCTCCTGTTCTGATTTTGGATCAACCAGAATATGAAGTAGAGTCTATCCTTGACAAAAAGACACTTAGAGGTCAGGACTACTTCCTCGTTAAGTGGAAAGGCTATCCTACAAGTGACAACACTTGGGAACCTAAGAGAAATCTAAAAAATGCATCCAAGCTAATTCTAGAATTTCTTTCTAAGAAAGCCACCTGGCTAAAGGGCAAGCACACAGCTAACAAACGTCCTTAAGAGGGGTATCATGTCATACTGACATTCGTTGCACTCAGTTTGCTATCAAACTCAAGAGCAAACTTAGAAATCTCCTCCTCAAACCTACAAGTCACTATACATATTTTGGCTTGTCACACCAACAACAAGAGCAATACTACTCAACAATTGCTATAACCCTCTATGATTCATTACACGTCATTGCTCCTTAGTTACTGGGCCGATATGACCACATAGCATATCTCTACAACCCTCTATGATTCATTACATGACATCACTCCTTAGTTACTGGGCTAATACTACACGTGACATATCTCTATCAACTAGAGGCCTAGGAACATGAACGATAGCTCCAAAAGCTTCTACAACCCTCTATGATTCATTACACGTCATCGCTCCTTAGTTACCCACAAGATTGGTTAAGTTATGACATAATCTGTCTATAGGGGTACTCTGACCTTGGACCTCCTTTCACTTCCTATAGGCTAGGAACCTAGGAGATGGTTCTATGGGATTCTCTTACGTTGACTACAGTTACCAAGCCTGGTTAGTCATGGAAAGTCTTGGAAAATGAGAGAACTACACTCCTTTAGCATAAATAGGATTGCCCTTTCCTTAAGAAAGGGCAAGCAGACAATACAGTAAATCGACTATCACATACCTCCACGTCTTTTCCAAGCTTCAAAGCATTGATCTTATTATTCTTTGTTTCTGAAAAGTCAGTGAGGTGCTAACCTTTGACTTATCTCTGAGTTCTCAGACTCAACATTTGTTACAACTTGTCTAAACCACTCCACTACATCATACACCTGATTGCTGCGTTGTGGAATAGTCTAAGCTACGACCCTTTGGCTCTGTTTCCTAAGACAGTGTGTTGTCTTAGTAAAATTATCCCTTCCTTGGGTGGCTAGATTCTCATATCTGGTGCACCCACCATTACAAGATGTTGAGAGTCAACATGTGCCATGTTGATAGAGTTCCTACAGATGAAGAAGGAAGAGAATTGCAGGACTAGGATGCAACTAGGACTAATCATCCTTAGCACTATATTGTGCCATGGTCGAAGTGTTATACTAATGACTGCCTGATCCATTGTCTTGACAAGACAAAGCATTCCTGTTTTCCCTTCTTAGAACAATTAGTTCACTATAAGTAGAAGTACATGAAAGAGATCCTTAAGAGACGACGATCTACTAGACAACTCTAGTCAAAAAACTAGGAGTCCTCGATGGTAGGCCACTAGCGAGTGACAAAGACAGGCCTAGTACGAACTAGCTATGTGCCATGACAGGCAGCATACAGTTATATGTAGTTGCTAAGATACAACAGCAACACCTCCAAGCTATAATAGACTTAGGATCAACAGGCAACTTTATGATGAAAAAAGTAGCAGACACATATGGTTTCAGGAGGCAACTAAAGACCGACCCATACCTATTAATGGTTGTAGATGGAGAGCCTATCTCAACTAACAACAGAATGGTGACCTACAAGATGGTCCTATTAGAAATGGTTATGCTACACAGACACAAGGAAACGATATAGTTTAATATCGTATACATGGACAATCATGCATGCATCCTTAGTGTGCTATAGCTTAAGAAACACAACCCCTAGATCGAATGGCAGAAAGAAAAAGTTGTGATGAGCTAGTGCGCATATAAGCGAACAGACACAATGTAAGAAAGAAAGAGACTACTAGGGCTGACATAAGGCATGTGCATGCCTTATGTCAGCCCTAGGAGTCTCTCTATAATTATGGCAGTACGGCTCCATGTAAGACCAGTACCTACGTGCGGGCTCTTGCCCGAGGTAGATTGGAAGGGAAGGGAAGGGAAGATATGAGAAGATATAAATGGCTAGGGATCCATCTTTATGGTTATGAAATGGGGTTATCAAAGGCATTTCTTGCAGATGTAACTGGAGTATTTGGACCCCTTCAATGGCCGTGGTCAGCTATGGCGGCCCTGTATAGTCATGCGGCCCTGAAGTCTGGAGAATATGTATAGCTAATGGGAATAAAAACTGATGCAATTCCTTCCTTCGGCTTGATATCTGAGAACGGCCTTGATATGATAATTACAGCCCTAAGGGATTGAAAGCCTCTATTTTATTCACAGATACTATGATCACCCAAACCCACAATAAGCTCTAGCAGCTATTCCCAACCTCTGGCTGATTATTATGTTTCCACGTCGCACGAGCACCATTTCCGCCAAGACTAACCGTCGACACAACGAAAGATCACTTAAGATGAGTGGTCCCTACTAGCCTTGCTTCAGCAGAAATATCAACGCATTAGTTAGGGGCTGCAAGACGATTACTTGTTCTTAATGTAAACGAAGTTCTCCCATCCCAGCAATACCTTTTTGTAAGCAATGCAGCCACCTGGCCGAGCCCCGAGATTCCCACCAATATCACCGCCAGGAACATCAGGCAAGCTTACTCTCTTGGTTTGGTGGTGACAAAAAGCACCACCAAACCAAGAGAGTAAGCTTGCAGATGGTACGTAAAATAATTTAAGATATGTATATACAGTTGAACCTGGATATAAGGATCCCTCGATATAAGGATATCCTCGGTATAAGGATGGGTAGTCTGGTCCTGTAGTTTTTTAGCTGTAAAATAAGGATTATTTCTGTATAAAGATGATCCTTAAATCCGTGGTCCCAAAATTATTTTTATATCAAACAATCCTTATAACTCGTGTTCACCAACTCCATCATGGAGGCCTCGCAACCAAAAAAAAGGCACGCTCAACTGGCAACAATGCATGCAAAAGAAAAATGCGATCATTACTGGTGACATTCTAAAAACTAAGGCGCACGAACTTTGGGACCGTCTGCCACAATATACTATTCATAGGAATGAACCGAAATGGTCGAATGGCTGGTTAGATGGATTCAAGAAGAGATTTAAGATTAAAGGAATATGTTCGACATGGAGAAGCAGCTGCAGCAGACATCCACAATCCTACAAATATCGCGCAAATGGAAGATCTCTAACAACTATGCGCAAGATATGCAGAAGAGCCCAGTTTCATCCATGTTGAAAATATCTTTAAGCATCGCAAGATACTGTTATTACTTGATAACTTCTCTGGACATGAAGTCGGAGTTGAACTTGTTGGTGGATTACAAGGTTTGTTGAATGTTCGAATTGCTTGCCACCAAATACGACATTTCATTGGCAACCTCTCGATCAGGGAATAATTGCAAGCTTCAAACTTGGGTATTGAAAACAATGGATTAATTACATGTTGCGCCAGCTTGAGGCCAATAAGAACCCTAATAAAACAGTTAATATTCTAAAGGCGATACAGTGGAGTCGACTTACGTGGGAAGCACTTGAAGCACCAAAAATCCAGAAGTGTTGGTGGCGATCGACTCTCATAAAAAAACCAGAAAATATGGATATGCGTCAAGATAATACTGCTGAGGTCGAGGAACTGGGAATGGAAATTGCGAGGCTACCAGGAGATGTCATGCCAATTGCAGATTTTCTCAACCCTATAGGCGAAGAGATAGTTGACAGAGATGAAGATATTTTTGAAGCTGTAGTACAGAGATACACTATTACAGAGGAGGGGATTGCAGACAGGGACGAGGAAGGGGAAGAGGAAGAGATCCGATCATCACTTGCGGAAGCAAGCCAGGCGCTGAATACCCTTCAATTATTTGCTTCCCTCGCTGAAGACGGGGGTCGGATTTCAGTAATAAAGGCATTAGAACAGATTGGCAAGGATATCTCGCAAGAGAAAGTCGCGAAGAGTACCCAACGTTTACTAGATGGCTGGGTGTCAAAGTAGCATACAATTTTTTAATTTTTTTTTACATATATTCCTCAGATTTCCGTGAACCTCCACATAAGGATATCCTCGCTATAAGGATGCCACGCCCGGTCCCGAGGGCATCCTTATATCCAGGTTCAACTGTATTCCCCGCTTCTATCTATACAAGAGATTCGGCTCAGTCCCCATTCTGGAGATCCCGCGCCTAGATCTAGCTAGCTCCTCCAAACGAGCCATTCTATACTACAGGGAGGGGACTAATGCTCACCGAGATACGGACACGCCGAGTACTAGGAAGTATCTCGGGGTTGTGCCTCTTCTCGGCGCATATATGCATATAGTAGTACAAGTACAGTTGCTTTCCTGCTCCGCTCATCCGTCTTACATGTCGTCGCCATTCAAACAAAACGCTTCTCCAATGTATCCCCAAGGTAGTGTCTCTCTACTTGGCTCTACGCTTGCCGCCGTTACGCACACGGGGTGTGACAACCCAATTGTTGGGTTTGCGGACCTGGCGCGTCTTGTATCCTCCTTTCGCCTGGATATGGAGTTAGATATTTGCATTGCTAGATGGCTGTCTGATAGAACTTACCGGCATACCCCATGGGCTGACGGGATCGACGTTGCCCTTCGATTTACCTCTACCACCTCCGTGGGGATGGTCGCCTATATGATCGTTAGAGATGAGGGCTTCAAGTCCGGTAAATAGGTTACTTACAGGCGTTCATGGCAAGACCACGGACGGTAGGTCTGATGTTGAGCCAGCGCTTTCGGCCAGCCTTTCCGAGCTGCTCGTGCTGGTAATGGGGGTTGCTGGCGACACCAATCGTTGCGCACGCTTCCCTGCTGACTTTGCGGACTTCACCACTCTGTAGCTTGACCATGACATGCTTCTCGCCGCCCTTGGTCGTAGCATCATCTTTGCTGATGACCACGGCGTATGTGCCTGCACTTCTGCAGAAGACTGCTCCGCGGTCCTTGGCGGAGCCGACGTTGTAGACAATGCTTCCCATGGGAATCATATGCAATGGCAGACAGTTTCCTCTCCATGCGGTCTTAGCTGCCAACACACCGGGATCAACCACTCCTCCCATGCTATCAAGCAAGTCCTTTGGAATACCAGCTCGGTAGCTCTGCACGACATCTCCTGCTCTCATCCCCTCAGAAGCAACGATGTAGCTCTTCTTGCCAGTAGCCTCCTCGTTCAGCAACGCAATATGCGCTGTCCGTCCAGGGTCGTGCTCAATACGCTCCACCATATGTGGTCCAGGAACCATCCTTTCGAAGTCCACTGTGCGGATTCTCGTCTTGTGTCCACCACCACGATGCCTGATCGTCACACGTCCAGAGTTATTCCTGCCACCCTTACCATGTCCCTTCTTAGCGAAGGTCAATGGGAGAAACGGTCGGCCCTTCCACAGGTGGTCGTTGATGGCTCGCTTCAAATGACGCACACCCGGAGTCCTGGGTGTGTACGTGCGCATAGCAAAGCTGGCATTGCTGTCGACTACAACAGCCGGAGGCGCAAAACTTGACGAGATCGAGGTAGTGAAGGTCTGCTGAGATTCAGCGGGGATTGGTTCTTCGACAGCTGTGGCATATGTTCGAGGGCGGAGAGGCCGCAACGTGAGGGTGTGGCATAGCGGCTTCTGCACCCGCAGCAGTACCCTAGGCTGCAGCATCTTAAGCAATCCGTCCCACCGCTCTGGGAGTACTGCTTGAATGGTGGTGGTTGAAGGGGATAAGTTGCACCTGGTCGTCACTTCCAGGGTCGATCCGTGCTGTCTTGATGAATTTCTTAGCTCGGAACTCCTTTGAGACACACGGGTTCTCATTGGTTGATTGAGTTGACCAATCAGGCGCGTTATGAATTGTGGTGGTAGCGGTTGCCCTGCGGTTGCCCTGCGGTTGCTATGTTTATCGTTCGCGGCTTGAAACTACTCAAGCGAAAGTACCCAGGTATACTACTCCCCCCACACAGCTCTGTACACGAAAACCACGAAAACCGACTCGTGATAAATCTCCAAAAACATACAAAACGCGGCCATGAAAACTTCTTCATTATAAAGTCTCACTATAGTTTCTATTCTACTCGAAATTATACGCCAGATTTATTTCGCCAGATACTCCTCGACACTTCGTCTCGAATCGCGTGCCTCCCGTTGAAACTCGCGCGCTAAGACGTGCAAACAAGCACAGAGACGCAAAGCTCCACCTACAGGTCAGTACTTCGTAGTCTTTCTTCCTGCATTCCTCCTTCGACGTCAACAGCAAACCTTCTACCCCTACCTCCACAACCTCTATTTCGCCCAATTCTTGTTGTTCTCCGCGTCCATGATCGAAATCACTCTATTTTGACGCACTGAGTTATCCTAACGCTCAGTAGCGGTGTCCCCGAGACGTGGCAGCCTCTTACCAAGTCCTTTCTACACAGCGTCGACATCGACCACGCTCCTATCCCCAACACTCTTACAATTCTCGACAGTTTATGCACACATAGACTCCTTCAATACTGTAAGGCATCCCATCCTACTCGAGTTGTTTTGGCAACAAAGACGCGTTGTTTATGGCGTCTTTGTCACCAATGTTACGCCTACTTCGGCCAGCACGCCTTAGCCTTATGTACGCGTTGCTAATATAATTATAGCTTCATATAACATTCGAAACAATCATTATACTTCTGTATATCCTCAAATATGCCTCCAGTGAGTATGCCGCGTTTGTTGTCAAATGCAAATTCCACCCATTCACAGGCTCTAACACAATCCCAACAGGCCCAAGCACTCAGAACCCGAGTGGCAAAGAACGAGAACGATGAGAATGTCGGAACAACAAGACTGACCAGAGCTAAGGCAGCTGCTTTCAGCGTGGATGATCTGTCCAGTGCCGCTCAGAAGCCTCTTCAATCCAAGAAGTCAGGTCTTCAAATCAGCCAGCCTCTCCAACGCAAGCGTGCTGCACTAGGAGACGTCAGTAATGTTACAAAGGGCGACGGGGCTGTTGAGGGAAAGAAGCCCTTGGGAAAGAGTGGCCTCGTGTCCAAGGCCGCCCAACCGACTGGCATCCAAAAGGTGTCCCGAACCAACTCCACCAGAACAGCATTGGGCTCGAAGGATAACAACAAAAAATCCACGGTTGAACTGAAGAGAACGGCCAGCGGCTCTGGAGTCCTTAGCGGTGGTGTCACAAAGAAGAGGCAAACAACCTCGAGCACAAGCTCGCTCTCAATCAAAGAGTCCGTCACAGAAGATGAGGAGCCTGCGAGGAAAAAGGTCCACACCAGTGTTGAAAAGCGAGTTGCTCCTAAGGTTATGAGTGAAAACAGGGTGGAGAACGTTCCAGTTGAGGCTATCAAAGAGCCTGTAGTTGAAGACGAGGTTCTCGACCTTGATGCCGAGGATATTGACGACCCATTGATGGTCGCTGAATACGTCCACGAGATTTTCGACTACCTGAAGGAGCTCGAGGTTGCAACCATGCCCAACCCAGTCTACATGAAGCACCAAGAGGATTTGGAATGGAAGATGCGTGGCATCCTAGTCGACTGGCTGATTGAAGTTCACACTCGTTTCCACCTTCTGCCGGAAACTCTCTTCCTCGCTGTCAACATCCTCGATCGTTTCTTGTCCGCCAAGGTGGTTCAGCTCGATCGCCTCCAACTCGTTGGCGTCACGGCCATGTTCATCGCTTCCAAGTACGAGGAGGTCCTCTCACCTCACGTTCAGAACTTCCGCCACGTCGCCGACGACGGATTCACGGAAGCCGAAATCCTCAGCGCCGAGCGCTACGTTCTGTCAGCCCTCAACTATGATCTGAGCTACCCCAACCCAATGAACTTCCTCAGACGTATCTCCAAGGCCGACAACTATGATATCGAGACCCGCACCTTGGGCAAGTATCTCATGGAGATCAGTCTCCTTGATCACCGCTTCATGGGCTATCTTCCTAGCGAGATCGCCGCTTCGTCCATGTACCTGGCTCGCAAGATCCTCGACAAGGGCCCATGGGATGCCACCATCGCACACTATGCCGGATACTCAGAAGAACAAATTGAGCCTATCTTTATTCTTATGGTCGACTATCTCGCTCGCCCAGTCACACACGAGGCTTTCTTCAAGAAGTATGCCAACAAGAAGTTCATGAAGGGTAAGTCTAATATATACACTGAAACTTACTTGATAATATACTAACTCTGGCTTAGCATCAATCTACTCCCGCCAATGGTCCAGCAAGCATGCCGCAGAGCTCGGCATCGAAATCTCTCAACCTTTGGATTCCGTTTCTCAATAAACGAGATAATATAAACAATGCTTGGCATATTCAAACTGAGCTTCGCTACAACTGAAATGAACTCTGTGGATGAATCACGAAAGAAAAAATTACGAACGGTAGACGGCAAAAAGGCTCTACTTGGATAGGGCCAGAGCAATCCTGCTGGTTCCAATATTTTGCAATGCAATGGTGTTTGCTTTTCGCACTGGCTTGGTTCGCTGCACATCTTATTTCCTTAACTCATCTGTCTGGCGTCATGTACATGCTCGAGGCGTGCTAGGCGTTTGGACAATATTGCTTTTGCTATTGGTCTGCTCTACCCTTATCTTCATACCCGCTTCCTGGGCCTGCTGCCTCGCAATTTAATGGCGGCATTGCCAGGGAATGCCTTCTACTCTTGTTTGTGTATCGAAATGGGGGGGATGGGACGTTTGCAGTTTTCGGCCTTCATCTATCTTCAGGCTTGGCTTGACAGTCCTCATAAATGGATCGGGGGGGCGGAAACGCGTATAGGCTTGGCTTGACAGTCCTCATCAATGGATCGGGAGGGGCGAAAACGCGTATAGGCTTCGATGGAATAGAAGAGGCTTACAATGAATTAACATCAAAATAATATGCATTGTCTTGACTATGTGAACTAGACTGGTCGTATGTATCCAAATGAGCTTGCGGCAACGCTCATCTGGTCAAGACCCGTACACAACAAACATGTTTATAGTAACCATAAGTGAAATAAAGCCTCTCGTCACTCAGGGTAGCTTTAAATGGGCCAGCTACTGTGAACTCGCTTCATTAACTTAACGTCATTGTATCCACCAAATTAAGCTCGCTTGGGAGCTTGCCCAGAAACCGGAACCGGGGCCGCCTTCTACCGCCGTCACGTCTTCAAGCATTCCTCGCCGCCAGCTGCAACTCGTCAACAATAGTTCCCTGTTTCCTTATCCACATCAACATGGCCGAATACCTCAAACTCGCCAGCGTCTTCGTCGACTTCGACCAGAAGAGCCTTGCAGGTATGTTTACATGAATATTAGGCTCTCTGGTCACATGCCGGTGTCAGTTAAAAAAATGCCACTGACACTCCGATAGTCGCCGCAGCTGCTATTGCATTCAACCCCATATACTGGAAGTAAGAACCTGTACCTCTCTTGTACCTGAATCCAAAAGCTAACCCCGCACAGCACGGTTGCCCGCCAAGGTTCGTCCGCCCTCGACCATCCCACCACTCCCAGCCTGCAAACTCCTCTCTAATAACCCGCAGAATACCACAACAAGGTCCTCACGAAGCTCGCTGGCGGCAACGCACGCCTAGGCTGCTACCTCCTCGCCGCATCCATCTTCTCTCTTGGCATCTTCCGCGACTACCTTTACGAGCAAGCCCTCCGCAGCCAGCCCGGGCACCCTGACCTCGAAACGGATCTAGTCAGGCTCATCGCCATCGGGCTCTTCCTCGCCGGAAATGTCCTCGTTATCTCCAGCATGTGGGCCCTTGGTCTCACCGGCACGTATCTCGGCGACTACTTCGGTATCCTGATGGACTCCCGCGTCACTAGCTTCCCCTTCAACGTTACCGATGCGCCGATGTACTACGGTTCCACCCTGAGCTTCCTCGGGACAGCGCTCTGGTACGGAAAGCCGGCCGGTGTGCTCTTGACGATCGAGGTGCTGGTTGTCTACCTTGTTGCGCTTCGCTTCGAGGATCCGTTCACGGCTGGCATCTACGAGAAGCGCGAGAAGGAGCGCGCAAAGGCCAAGCGGGGAAAGAAGAACTAGATGATAAGGAGGGTCTTGAGAGGGCTTGGGTGGAAGTGGAATAGATTGTAAATGGATGGCATAGGTAGACAGCAAGGCAAGATCAGACGGGGGTTTGTACCTGCTGGCAGGGTGGCGCATACAGCGGAGTTCAACAGTATTAGCGACGTTTGACAGGACTGCACATATATCAACTACGTGTATGGAAGGCGCTGGATGGAGCAAAAGTCGTTTTTTAAGTACTCACTAAAGAGTAGAACGTATAATTTTACAATAATATTCCCCTATTGTAAGTGGCGCAAAGGATGTTCTTACGCATAGAGAGGGGTAGGAGCCGACCGAAGGATGCATACTTATGATGACCGACGCCACCCACTCTATATGCAGTGATAAGTGACGAGTGACGCGAGCGATCTCGTTGCGGCAAAAAGACGCAGACACTCTAAACGCTAGAAAGAGGGGCAAGTGACGCGATGGAGGCTGTTACCGTATTAAGACGCGCGGGCTCTGAAGACGGGGCGCTGGGGGCGATCAATGTGATCCATGATGTTGCATGCATTTACGGCATGAGGCGCGGGCAAGAGAGTAAGCGCGCCCTAATAATCTCTATATCTGCCTCTAGCACGCCGTCAGTCTTAGACAAAAAGGATGCGGCAGTCACTAACGGCAGTGAAATGTGTGGCCCAGAGAATATATTCCTGTATTCCCGTATGCTGAAATGTGTGGCCCAGAGAATATATTCCTGTATTCCCGTATGCTGAATATACTGGCTCCGTACAATTAACTATTCGTACAACTCCAATCCTGAGTTCCTACTCTTCTTCTTGCCCTTCTCCCTCTCTCGCAACACCTCGCTTCTTAGATGCTTTCCATCTTCCACCTCCATGGTCCCATCAAATGCGCAAACATCTATACCGAAAGAAAAAATAACAATCCCATATGTCGGACCCCTGAAACGCCGCGCTCCTACTGTGGAGAGCGCTAAATGCTCGCCTATCCCTCCTGCCTATCCCTCCCGCCTATCCTCGATTCTCTTCTTCGGTATCACTCTTCGCTAGTCGGCCACTATTCGCAGTGGTCCAGCTCAATTCCATCCCATCTCTCCTATCCTAAACCTCAAAGATCAGGTGCTCGATTAGCCGATAGGTCGGCCACGGCTCGGGAGGCTGTGGATTCCCATATCGGCGGTATCTATAAAGCGATCGCTCCACGCCTCGACTCGCGCGCGTGCAGCCACGCTTGAAGGCCACAGAAGACAAGGAAGAACTGCATGACACGTTAGCCTTCTGCACACCTAATTCACTTCCCTTTCTCCCCGTCTTCCCCATACATCTCCACCATCCCCCAGCTCTCCAGGCAGCCCCATATACCCCTCGCCGGCTAAGACGCCAACCCCACGCCACACCACAGACGGAGAAAAAAAAGAGCACATACCCCATAAACACCCACAGCCGCAAACGCCGTCCCTGCTACCACTGTCCCATCCTCTGGATCGTCGTTGCTATCCATCAGGCTGTGGTGGTTTGCGTTGAACAGCGCGCCGAGGACGGAGAGGATCACGATGGCGAAGACAGAGATGACGATGCTGGTTCATATCGTTAGCTGTGTGTTCGAATCGCGCGGGCCGGTAGTTGCGGTTTGATAGTAAGATGGTAGGGGGGATGGGGCAGGAGGACATACCATGACCAGGCATGCATGATGCTGACGACGGGCTTCATATTGGCGACGGTGGGGGGTGTGATGGGGGATTGGCGGTTGGTATATTATAGGAATGTATAGCTCCCCTGTTTGAAGCGGTGAAGTCTCTTTGGATATTGAGAGTCGTGGTTAGAACTGGGGTATTTATGGAGCTGTAGCTCGAAGCTCGAGGACGGCGATGGATCAATGTCGTCGCCTGATGACTAAGCTAAATTATCACGTGATTGAACTATATATTGTTCATGTTAGACGATTACTATGCAGCTTTTGGCACATTGTAAAAATACCAATATGCCCGAATTTCTGCTACGATAATTTTAGCTATTATCGCTTCGTGCAGAGATAAATAGTTTGCATCGAGATCTAAAGACCAGTTTAGATCGGCGAGTACTGTGTCGGTATCCGAAATCCCATGCAACCCGTCCTCCGCCGCTTACTTTCGACTCATACTGTCTATCATAAAGTTGAATATGTGGAAACCAAGACCGTTTGTACGCCTAATATCCCAGCTTTCCGTTCCTATCTGCCGTCCTGTGCGCCCGTCAAATCGATACGAGAACTTATTGCCTCCTAGTCCTCGTTTTCTTCGCAGTCGTAGCCGCGTCCTCGTCGTCTTCGTCCTGCCCCTTCTTCAACTCCTCATCCAAATTCCACTCCTCCATATCGTACCAATCTTCGCCGTCACTCATTCCATTCTCGCCAGTGTGCGCCTCGGCCTTGGCCCATTTCATCACATCATTGCGCAGTCGATCCGCCTTAAGAAGACCCTCGTAGAGCTTCTCGCTTCCCCTGCACACCTCCTCCTGCTTCTGTACAAACAGCTGCAGCAACCGCCTTGTCTCATCTGCCTCCTGCGTCGGGAGCCCAATGTCTCTGTCTGGAATCGCAGACTGGGGTGCCAAGAAAAACGGGTGTATGAAAGAGTCGTTGGAGGAAGTTGAGAGGGATCGTGTGCGAGATCTCACGTTGTCGTCGGATGCGGCTTGCGCCTGGGCGCGCGTGCGCATGCGCCTTGGCTCCGGGGCATCAGTTTCGTCCTTCTCTTCGGATTCATCGTCTGCCGGTACATCAGGGTCAGGAAGGGTGGTGTCGGGATCTTCGAATTGGTTAGCTTTGTCCTCGGCGGGTTCTTCGGCATCTGCAGTGGCCGCTGCATCGGTAACGACTCCGTCCATCTTGTCGGTCTCGTTGGCATTTTGTTGATTTTCGGATTCATGAGGCTCGGTGGCTTTCTTGTCGGCATCTAGTTCCGTTGCATTGGTGTCTCCGTTGGTTGCAGCGGTCACGTCCTCAGCCACGGGAGGCTCAACGGATGTTGAAACCTTTACTTCTTGGCCAGAACCGTTCTGAGTGGGAACATCAACCATTGCGACTTCGTTTTCGGTCGCAGCATTGTCTACAGCCTGTTCAGGCGTAGCAATGTCTAGTTGTGCCTGTATGCCCCCGTTCATAGATGTATCTTCGCTACGAGTACCTTCCAATCGCTTTTTTTCGAGAAGGTGTTCCCGGTATTCGTTTCTGCCATCACCAAAAAATCTTATATCGTTCGGCGTCTCGAGTAGAGCTGTAGGTACCCATATGTGATCACCGCTCAGCCTTGTCAGAAGGCGCTTCATTTTCCATAGAGTCTCCTTTTCCTTCTGCATCATTGACCGCGCATTCAGAGTGAGTTCGGTGAGCGTTTTTGATGTGAACGGCCTAGATAATGTTGGGTGGTTTGGCAGGTCGGTAACTGATGTCAATGGCGCAAGCAACTCTACACCACAAGGTTAGGAACGTAGGTCGACTGAGAGGGCAAGGTTTCTTCTGACCTTCCATTCGAACATCATTATATGGATAGAATTCATTCGCAGCGGCCAAAGCCTCGCCATCTTCATCGTCTTCACTGTCCATCTCGTAGCCATCCTCGTCGTAAAGCATCGGGCGTTCGCTAATGATTGTTCTCTCATAGTGCTCGTTGTAGGTGATCGTCTAGCACAGTATCAGCATACACAAATGACTCTCTGGATTAAACAGCTCCTCATTACCTTTTTGTAAGCCTGTGGACCGTTCGGCATCGCCAACCTGCCCTCGCGGACGTATCTGGCCCTCTTCTTCAGCTTGTTCCCCCTGTTCGTGGTTTGGTCTATTGAGTGTTCCGAGTCCGATTCTGAGAAGAAACATCAGTCAGTTAAGTCCAAAGCTACTGGATTCTGGATCTAGATTTCCTACCATCGGCTTTGCGCTTGACTGCTTGCTTCATATCCCCCACAAGCCTAGCAATCATCATCTCTTGTACACTCGGCATGGTTGCGTGGTTGCGCCTTATCGGAACTCAGTCGTTCCTGCTCTGGGATTCCGGTTGCAAGTATTACACCACAGTAGGTGAATCAGTTCGGTCGCCTTCACTGTTCGAGCCCCACGGTGAGAGGTTAGGTATGGAGCCGCAAGTGTGGTCGCAGGAATGACAGCTGATCTCAGTGTCAATAGATAGCCTATTTGGCTACATTTGTTGTGTGGAGCGCCCGACAGTAAGTGGATTCGCGTAATTGTTGTTGTAGTATAGATCAAGGTAGTTATTCAATTACATCGATGAGTGACAGTCCCTCAGGATATGTTGTGAGTATTGTGGCATGAATGGCGCAAAACAGAAGGGCGGCCTCTCAGCAACATTTGGATAGCGGCGGCATTTGACCACACCGACACTGCCCGCACTACGGTAGCCTAATTTAGGCGATTACAACCCCAATGGCCGAGATACCCTCTTTGGAATTAATTGTACGATTTCGGCATCCAGGCTCACAGGCGCCTAGATTCTGGATATACTGAAATAAATAATTACCCATGGGCGCTTTGGGAGCGTCTCGGGGTTAACAGATATCCCGAGCCGCAGATGTCAGAATCCCAGTCGCAGTCGGAAGTTCCTTCCATGGATTCGTACATGGCATCGCTGAGAGGGGCTATTTCAGAGTACGAGTCCGGGAAAAGTATACGCTCGGCGCAGGCTGTGAAGCTGCAGCTGGCACAAGAGCTCATAAAACAGGAAGCCTGGGACGATGCGCTACGCATCCTCCGACCACTATGGCACACCATGTCTTGGAGGAGGGAAGGGTGGTGGGACTTGACTGAAGAGGTGGGGACTATCCTGCGTGAGGTTGCGGTTAAGGCTGGAGATGGCGGGACAGTTGTTGCCGTGGACTGGGAGCTTATGAGTTCAAGTAAGTACATAATTGGGCTATTTGTATCAAGACTGGACACTAACTCGCAACAGCTTTCGAGCGGAATCCACGACAGACTCTAGTCATCACCAAGTCCCTTGACGATGTGGACACTGTGAAGGGAAAGCCGGCAGTTGTGCTTCAAGGGCGGGATATACACTCATTCCTATGTGCGACTTTCGTTTTTGAGCAGGCCGAAGGAAAGGTGGGGGAACCATGCACATCACAACTGAGTGTCATGTCCTTTGCTTCAAAAGGTTCGTCGCCCGTTACTATGGCGGAAATAAAGATAAAGTTTGAAGGGTCTCTTAAGCCCGTCACGATCCGGCATAGCAGTGAGGCTCAAGATGTTGAAGTCCGCCCGGATAATACGTCCTTCACCAAGGTGGCGCTTCGCGAAGAACATGGAAACTCTGAGGATACAGCTATGTCTGTTGGGAAAGAACGTGGCTTGCGGTTCAGCACTCTCGTCGGAGACGAGAGTTTGATTTTCCTCCCTGGACAAACACGTGTCTTTGAGTTAAGTTGTCCTCTGAGAGAACCAGGCAAAGCCAAAGCTATTTCAGCGACGTTTGCACTAGCTGCGCCCCTTTTTGATCTCGAATGCATCATAGAGTTCGACCACATCACCACTCGCGACATGTGGTGGAGTCAGAAGCCAGCTCGCAAGCGGGTTGTGCGCGCTGATCCGCATTCTATTACCATTCTCCCGAAACCACCCAAAATGGAAATTAAGTTCCAGGCGTTGAAGGATCAGTATTATACAAACGAGCCGATTGACCTGAACGTCGATATATTTAATGGCGAAGATGAAGAATCACTTGCCAGTTTGGAGGTCACCATTTCCAACGATGGTGTAGGAACTCCTCAGCTTCCCTTCAAGATTATTATACCCACAGCACCTGAATCAAACGTGGAATATACACCAGATGATGAAACGCCACCAAGCGCCAAACTTGGATCAATCTCAAGCTCTAACACAATATCAGCTATTGTTGTTCTAGGTCCAATATTAATACAATCAACTTACGAGATAACTCTGCAGTTGAAGTATAACCTAGCTTCCGACTTAGAAACTCCAATCACCAGAACTGCAGCTATACGTTTCAATATTGGCAGTCCATTCGAAGCGAACTATGACTTTTCGCCTCGCCTCGACTCAAGGTCATGGCCAAGTTTCTTTGATCCTAAGGACGGGAAAACGTCTTCTACTGGCGAAGTCGCCGCACTTGGTCTCCCACAGAAGTGGAATCTCACCGCCAGATACTGTTCGTTTGCAGGTGAAGCTTTAATAGTGGAGGACGTCAGCCTCGCCATCCTCTCCCTTAACGGCGGCGTCGCCTGCTCTGGTATCCACCCACTCCCAAACACATCCTTAGGGCTACCCATCCTACCCGAAGCACTGGCAGAATCTCACTTTGACGTTTTGACTCAAAAGCTAAGCCTGGATGGCCGTCGGTCAGCATCGTTGGACTTGTCCCTATTAATACAATGGCGACGCGATGTACCTGAGTCGCCATCTAACACATCAACGCTGCCCATTCCAAGGCTGCTAGTCGCCAGCAGCGAGCCTCGCGTCCTCACAAAGTTGTCATACAGCGAAAACACCACTCAACCAATGGTCCTGCATATGGAATACATGATTGAAAATCCTTCGATGCACTTCCTCACCTTCAGTGTGGTGATGGAACCAAATGATAAATTTGCATTTTCAGGCGCCAAGCAAAGTACTATCCAGCTGTTGCCATTGTCGCGGCGCGGTATGAGCTTCAACCTGCTCCCGAATGTGAGGGGAGAGTGGGTCAGACCGCAACTGGTGGTGACTGATCGATACTTCCAGAAGGTACTGAAAGTCGCTCCAGGAGATGGGATGAAGAGTGACAAGGAAGGAATCTTAATTTGGATTCCGCCGGATGAGGAATAAAAAATAGGAAAATATATATATTTGTGAAATTATATACTATGTCTTAGAATAATGATAGTTCATATGACAATATATTCCGATCTATATATCGCACTTTATAACTTGACCGCGCCATCAGTAACCTTCCTTTTTTTTGGATCTCCAGTAAGTATGTTCTTCCACTTCTCACTTATGACTTGCTTCTCTATGACACCCATCTTCGCCCACCCTGCGAATTTCTCCGCCTCTTGCCTCCAGAGCTGCATTTCCTGGCCTATCCACTTCGCTGTATTCTCTGCAGTTTGCACCGGTGCCTCCATAGCAACCAGGTGGCCGATTCCTTCTAAAACAACTTCCGTAACGCGCCACTTCGCTGCCCCTCCTGACCCTCCGGTGCCAGTTCCTGTGACACGCATTTTTTCCGCATTAAGGGCTGGCGAAGCCATGAAGCTGGTGCCACCGAATATGTACAGCACGCTTGGCCGTAGATGGGGGAGCTGTGCAAGAACCATAGATGGTGCTGGGGAATAAAATGGCTCGGTGGATGGTACGGATTGATCGATATCGGGATGGGAGTAGTGGGTAATGGGAGCCAGAGGGCCGTTATTGGGGTCGGAGAAAGTTGGGCGAATGAAGGTTTGCACTTCGTGGTACTTGGGAGTGCTCAATGTCACGGAGCCCTTTTCATTTGGATAGAGTAGCGTGGGCGTCTCGCGTACTCCGTGCTTGTTCCATGCCTCTAAAACCCGAGGGTCCCAGGACTTGTAGAATGGGTTTCTACGGAAGCCCGCCGCGGCTGCTTCGCGGGATGGCCAGAGGTCACGACGGAATGTTGACGCCATAGGTGCTCCCCTGCCGTCACCGCTGGTCAGAGGTTGCCCAAAAATGACTGGATCCAGGAGGGTGAGTGAGGTAAAAAGGCGAGGATGTATCAGGGACAGGCTGGCAAGGTTATTGCCTCCGAATGAATGGCCAACCCCAAACAACGGAAGTGGCATCTCCTTGCGGAAGTGGTTAATCATGTGAAGAAGGTCACGGGGATGGTCCATCCATGATGCTTGGCCGCTGGTCAGCTAGAATTCGAGATATTTTAGGAGAACTTACGATCGTTACCCAACTTCTCTTCATTCAGAATTGCACTTTGATTTTGGTGGGCAGCATCGGCGATCCAGATACTGCGGATGCGAAAGCCATTGGCCTTTGAGCGTAAACATAGTTCATCCCACAAGGCTTCGTAGAGCTCCTGGTGTAGTGTTAGCAACACGGATATGAAGTCTAAGAACGGGTGCTTGCCTTGGGAAACCCATTGGCATGTGCTCCAATGATTGTAACATCTCCCGGTTGCGGATTTGGATTATCTAACGGCGTATACTGCTTGATGGAAAGCTTTAGAATCTCCTCCTCCGAAAACGATGTCGCTCTTGCATATTCCCGAATATGCTGGGCTTCTACTACGTGTTCTTTGATATTGAAGTTAGTTGTCGACATGTTGGCGATGATATGTATACGTCTTTATTATAGCACTTCTAGAAAAATATAACAGGGCCATGCAAACCACGAGGAAGTCGTATATACACTTTTGGTCTTACTGTACTCCGATCTCGAATAGTATTATATAAGTAAGGTTGAGGAGTTGACCTTCCATTGGATCCTCTGGTGCTCTTACAAGTGAGCCTCGGCTTCCGGCTACAGTAGGCCGCATCTTGTTGGATAGCAACCTCCGTAAAGGGTTCTTATCGGCGCCCCGCATCACGTGACAATAGACTTGGCGTGTTTTTGACCGCGTTCAGGAACGCGTTCGCCTGTAATTACTGAACTTCAGTTGGAAATGCCTCATTCATGAATATTATACCCACCCAAAACAACAGCATTTAATGATATAACAGCAGCCTGCCATGGCTAATGAGGCGCCACCGCTATTGTTTGACGACTGTCATGTCGCTATTATTCCAAGCAGAAAGTTAACAATTGAGAATGCGCGTGAGGTAAGAACCTCACCAGTCATGGTGAACCCCTCTAACATGCAGTACAGTTTGGATCTATACTCGAAGAAAATGGAGCGACAATATCAGAACTCAGCGCCGATGGCACTGTCGAAATCGCCGAAGTTACACATATAATCTCGTCAACTTCTGACTTCCCTCAATACCACGTCGCTTGCGAACACTTGCGTCCTGTTATCACACCAAGTTGGATTGCAGCGTCGCTCAAGAAGAATAAACTAGCTCCCTTCCGGCCATATACGCCAGATCCCAAACTTTTCTTCTCTGGCGTTAACGTCACTTGCGCCGATATTCCAGATGGCGACCAAGATGCTATTATTGGTGCGGTCATTGCCATGGGAGGCCAAGAATCCAGCAGTCTCACGAGGCAAGTCACTCATATCGTGGCGCTGACAGAAGACCACCCGAAGTGCCAGAATGCAAGGGACAAACAATTAAAGTGCAAGATCGTTTTACCCCACTGGTTTGAGGACTGCATTAAGCTCGGGCATAGAATCGACGAAAAGCCATATTTGCTCCCTGATCCCGAGTTTCTTCGGATAGGGTCTGAGGCACAGATTCTGGTCCCGATCACAAACAGCGTGACAGGAGCCACAACCCCACTCCCTGATTATATTCCCATCGGGGCAGATTCTCCTTCAGGATCTCGCAAATTAGGCGTTTTCCGCGACAAGAAGGTCATGTTTTCAGAAGATGTGAAACTCCGTAGCCGTCATCGAGGCATTCTTGAGAACCTCATTACCAATGGGGACGGCGCGATAACTACTAGCGTTCACAAAGCCGACATGTATATTTGCAACTACCGCGATGGCGATGACTATATCACGGCTTCCCGGAATGGAAAGGATGTTGGAAATATTTCCTGGCTGTATTATCTCATGACTTACAATGAGTGGACCTCGCCTTTGCGGCGACTCCTGCACTATCCAATTCCTCGAATGCCGCTTGAAGGGTTTGAAGGAACGAGAATCACTCTTTCTAACTATGGTGGAGACACTCGCATTTATCTCGAAAGCCTCGTTAAAGCTGCCGGAGGCGAGTTCACGAAAAGTATGAAGCAGGATAATACCCATCTTATCACGGCGCGAAATAACAGCGAAAAGTGCGAGGCTGCGCTTGAGTGGGGAATTTCGATGGTCAACCATTTGTGGATTGAGGAAAGCTATGTCAAATGCAAAGCACAGCCTTTAACAAATCCAAAATACACCCATTTTCCACGGCGCACAAACCTTGGTGAAGTAATTGGCCAGGTGCCTTTTGATCGCGCGATATTGGAGCGAATCTATTATCCTGGCGATGTTGCCACTCCTGAGTCATCAAATCGGGATAGGCCCGTTATGAAGACGAAGGATCGCAATGCAGATGTTCAGCATGCTACTGAACCACCTAGCGCTACCTTGGCTGATGTCTCTATGGCGGATGACCAAACCTTGCCCGTTCTTCCTCGATCAAAAGCAACTCCTGTCCCAAAGCGAACGGCACATCTCCTATCGACACCACACAGCAACCGACTGGCTAGAACAGGCAAAGAGAACAAAACGCCATCATCTACAAGTAGCCGTGGGGCAAAGGACCGCGCGTTATCCAAGCTTCATGACCAAGCTGCCGACATTGCACTTTATGAAAAGGAGAAAAAGCGTGCTGGCAACGGTGTCTGGGGCGGAAAACGAGCTGCAGACCAGGTCGACAGAGAAAGGGGCACCCGGAGGGCTTCTAGTGAAGCTGGAGAGGAGATCGATGTAGAATCTGAGGAAGAGGGTCGGGTAATTAAGAAACCAAAGACTGGTTCGCGCCCAGTGAGCATCAGGCTTCTAGTCACTAGCTACAAAAGGTGGGAAGAGACGCCAACAAAGGAGGATTCCGATAAGGTAAGTACACCAGACATGACCTTGATGTGGCTATACTAATGTTTTCCGTAGAAAAAGCTGCGTGAACTTGGAATTCTCATCGTCCAGGACCCTAGTACTTGCAACTATCTCGCGGCGCCAGGCATGGTTCGCACGCATAAGTTTCTCTGCGCGTTGGCTACTGGCGTTGGCATCTTGTCGACTGAGTTCATTGATGCGTGCCTTACGTCGTCAACGGTGCTGCCTCCGGACTCCTTCGTATTGAAGGACAAAGCGAAGGAAAAGTACTTTAAGGTCAAACTCGCTGATGCCGTCAATCGTGCCAAATCGAACTCCGGGCATTTGCTTCGGGGCATTGCCATATACTGTACGGAAGCTATATCAAATGGCCCTGGTACATACAAGACTATCGTGGAATTCAATGGAGGCGAGTTCGCCATATTCAGAGCGAAGGCTGAAACTTTGAGGATGAGGGAGGAAGGTGAAGAGGAGGCTGTATATCTGCTGACAGGGACGTCAATTAAAGAGAAGGCACTGTGGCCAAAGTTTGCACAGATGGCCCAGGACAATGGGCATGAGCCGAGGATTGTACAAATTGAATGGCTACTCGATGCAGCGATGAGGCAGGAGGTGAGATGGCATGAAGAGTATTTGGCAAATTAGACTATCTGGCTTGCCGTTTTTAGCATTAGCTTGGAGTTCGGTTTTATGGGACAGAGCGTGGTTGTCCGGATTGTTGGGCATAGTTGACGTTGGAATGTATTAATCCAGGATATTTGTCCCACAACATGCCTTCTCATCCCATTTTGCAACGTGCTCTGAGTGAACCAAATATTGGCTTTTTGAAACTAATATTTTGTATTATTTCATAGTCTAGAAGAATTTAACACCTTGTTCGTCTTCCTGCCCAAATACTTGCGCCTTGCCTCTCCTTACAAGAACACCCATCGCCCGCTGTAATAAGTCTGGATCCATGCCATGGAACTCCTGTGATATCGTCGCTTCGCTCTCTGTAAGTTCATATAGTGTAAGCACAACGTTCTTCTGTCCCGTCTCGTCAACCTGTATATCCATGTCAGTTACTACCATCCATATGTCTAAACAACGAAAGTCACTGAGCTGTAAAGAACTCCATACCCAGTCATATATCAACCCCGCCCATTCTTCCGGTGTCCTCCAATAGATCCATGCCACCTCTTTACTCTCGCTATCCTTCTTCCCGCCCAGCCACTCCGCCCTTCCCTCCTTCCTCATCGCATTCACAATATCCTTCGCATCCGCGAGGCTAACCCGCTTATTGATCGTCTTATTCCAGAACAGATCCGTGTCGATGGCATCCACCAGCGTCAGCTTCCAGAGCTTCTTCTGCCGACAGTAGGCGAGGATGAGGCTGCTCCATTTGCTGCGACGCGCGTGCTCGGTGGTGGTCGACGGCTGGGGCGAGAAGAACGGGGGAAAGGAATAGAAGGCCGGGAACTCGAAGGTGTCGGCCTGAGCCATGGTCGAGAAGGGGGCGTAATCGGGAGTTATATATATTGTCCTGTCATTTATGCGTGGGCCATGGATAGTGGGCGCAATTCAGATCAACGCGGTCATCGCGGGGTCATCTTCAGCGTTGTCTGTTGGTGGGGGGCACGTTGGACAGTGGGAGCTTGCGGGGAAAGTGCAAACACAGCAAACATCTCTTGGTGGGTGGCCACGCTGAATTGGGAAAGTGCAAACACGACAAACAATTGCTAGCTGCAGGCAGTTTGGGACCGGAAACTAATCCCCTTTCGCACAGGATTGGATTAGCACTAGCGTGATTTCGAAAATTTTCGCTGCCTATATATACTCGCCCTCCCCCCTTCCTTTTGATATTTTTTTTCTTTTCTCTTTAGCTCTCTTTGCCTATTGGCTTAGATCAAGTGTAGTATCTGTTCTTTTCAGTTTAATCTCTGAAATTGTCCTATTGGACAAATCAATGATTAAATCTATTTTTGAAATGAGTCTTGGGACCGCTGAGTTTACTCATGTCCTAGGACACAGTGTCTCTGGTATTACACTGCCTCCAGATGACGCGACCTCGCATTTTCATTACATTTCTGGCTTGCCCAGGGTTGTGAAGAAGATTGGTTTATTTCGTAGGTAGTTCGTCTAAATTATTGTAATGTGATATATTAAAAGCACGGATATATAAATATGAAGAATTCCCCGTGGCCGCAATTGCGCACCAAACTCGCCGCCAAGTTCTCTGATCAACACAATATAGCCTCTCGGATTGATTTCCTTTGCACCACTCCCATCATGTCTTGTTTGGAGAAGCCATCCATCGACGGTGTTTTAGAATTGTAGCTTCTGAGCTTTGTTTTGGTTGACATGGTTGAGAGCCGACACTATCCTGGTTGCTGATGCTGGAAAAGTGCCGTTATATATTGTTTTTATCGTAGCACCCAATTTTCACACGAAACAATCCCATTCGTATTTCTCCACGTCCCCACCATCAGTAATATATAACTTGACCTTCACATTCCCTGTCGAGGCTATCATAGATTTTGCGAATTAAAGCCCTTTAAGCTCTTGTGTGCGGCGAAACTGGATTTAGAGTTCTGTAGCCTCGAATAGTACGTGGGGTGGGTTTGCTGGCCTCAGTTCTCTGCACTCACGCGCTCCGATACCGACAGCCTTCTTCCACCCTGTGCCCTTCCGCGCTCAAGCCACAAACAGCATATCTATAAGATGCCACAACCATTAAGTTCGAAGGAGTCTTCGCTCTTTCGAACTGTAGTTCGCAATTATGAGGATAAGCAGTACAAGAAAGGTGGGCATCTCCTCAGCGGCGACGGAATGACTGGTGCGCTGACAGATTACACCAGGTCTCAAAGCGGCCGAGCAAATTCTCAAGAAGAACCCGAAGCATGGAGATACCATGGCGATGAAGGCATTGATCCTGAACTCAATTGGCAAATCCGATGAAGCTTTCGCGCTGGCCAAGCTTGCTCTCCAGGCTGACATGAAGTCGCATGTCTGCTGGCACGTTTACGGTCTACTCTATCGATCCAACAAGAATTTCGAAGAGGCCATTAAGGCTTACAAATTTGCCCTGAAGCTGGACCCAGAATCGCAGCAGATCCAGAGGGACCTGGCCCTTCTCCAAATACAAATGCGGGACTACCAAGGCTATATTACCAGCAGGAGGGCAATGCTGCAAGCTCGGTCTCATGTACGACAAAACTGGACTGCACTGGCAATTGCGCAACACCTGTCAGGAGACCTTTCTGAGGCTGAAGGAGTATTGTCCACATACGAAGAGACCCTGAAGAGCCCTCCATCGAAACTCGACTTCGAGAACTCGGAAGCGGTTATGTACAAGAACTCTCTTATTGCTGAGCAAGGAGACTACAAGAGGGCTCTGGAGCACTTGGAGACTGCGGGCAAGCACAACCTCGACCGCCTGGCAGTTCTGGAGCTTCGTGCGGAGTACCTGTCGAAGCTTGACCGCAACGAGGAGGCGGCGACCGCTTTCCGTGCCCTGGTTGATCGTAACTCGGAATGCAAGAAATACTATGATGGACTGGCTGCGGCATTGAACATAGAGCCGGGCAACCACAAAGAGCTAAAGGCAATCTACGATGAATACGCGGAGAAGTACCCACGAAGTGACTCTGCCAGAAGGCTACCTTTAGATTTCTTAGATGGTCAGTATTTGAAGCCCAGAAACTTAACGTGCCCCATAACTAACTGGTGCAGGCGACGAATTCCGGACAGCAGCAGATTCCTATGTTCACAGAATGTTGGATAAGGGAGTGCCCTCGACATTTGCCAACCTGAAGCATCTTTATTCGAATAAGTTCAAGCAGCAAACGCTTCTGGAAGTCGTCAACGAGTATATTAACAGCAAAAGGGGACAGGCCAACATTGAGCCAAAGAGAAGTGGGGACACTTCAAAAGGAGACTCGTCCGCCTACTATTACCTTGCGCAACATTACAACTATCACCTCAGCCGTGACCTTGACCAGGCGTTGGTATATATAGACAAAGCGATCGAGTTGGAGCCGAAGAGTGTCGATTTCCATATGACTAAAGCCAGGATATATAAGCACAAGGCCGATACAAAGACTGCATCGGCAACAATGGAGATTGCACGGACTTTGGATGAGAGAGATCGCTATATCAATACTAAAGCTGCGAAATACCAGCTGCGAAATGACGAAAACGAAGCTGCTTTAAAGACACTGGGCATGTTTACTCGCCTTGAGGCTGTGGGAGGACCACTTGCTGATTTGCACGATATGCAATGTATGTGGTTCCTAACGGAAGATGGGCAATCGCATGCCAGACAAGGTGATGTGGGCCTAGCTCTTAAGCGCTTCACTACTGTTCACAACATCTTCGATGTTTGGCAAGAAGACCAGTTCGATTTCCACAGCTTCTCTCTCCGAAAGGGCCAAATTAGGGCATACGTCGAAATGATCAGGTGGGAGGACAGGTTACGGGACCACCCTTTTTACACTAGGGCAGCAATCGGTGCCATCAAAGAGTACCTGAAGCTGTATGATAAACCCCAAGCCAATGGGAACTCTGCGAACGACGATGAATCGGCCTTGGAGAACAAGAAGGCGGCGAAGAAGGCGCGCAAGGCCGCGCAACAAGCAGAGAGAGATGCGGCGGCCAAGAAGGCCGAGCCAAACAAGGCAGTTCCGGTAGATGCTGCCACAGCAAAGAAGGTGGACGAAGACCCGAACGGTGTCAAGCTCGTCGAGACCAAGGAGCCGTTGACCGATGCGATGAAGTTCTTGGGCCCAATGCTGGAGTTTGCACCAAAGCTGCTCGAAGGACAAATTCTTGGCTTCGAGGTTTATTTCAGAAGAGGTAAGAAACTATAAGTCCCTTGGCATTATGTAAACTAACAAAGACAGAAAAATACCTTCTGGCCCTGAAGTGCCTCCTGGCTGCATCAACCATCGACTCGAGCAACTCAACAGTCAAAGAGCAAATCTCTCGCTTCAACAAGGGACTTAAGGCGAAGTCCGCGTCCCTGTCAGAAAAGGTCCTTGAGACCATCAAGGAGGAGGCAAAGAAGTTACCTAGTGCATAAGTTCGGCGAAATATCATAATCAGCGCATGCGTGATGAACGCGGATAGGCCGCTTTGTGAACATTTATCAACGGATCTTGGGAGGTTGTGCATGGAGGTGTAAAAGCGTAAAATCGAAAGAGGCAGCCCTACAGGTTAAAATATGGATAACTCGATAGAACGCATTGCTATGGAGATTTCTGATATAAAGTTAGCTACAGTACAAGTAGCTGCAATTTAACACCAAGTCAAATGATTCTGGTTGCAGAGGAGGTTTCGTGCTCATATTTGTACATACATAACCCGAATGAGTTGCGCTCCTCATCGTCTATAACTATAATACATCTGGTGTGACAGATAATATGCAAAACCAGGCTACCTTATCTCATCCCAGAGATAAATACCATATCATACAAATTTTCTTACATCTTCCTTCTTATCACATCCTTCAACCTCATCATATGTCCTCCATGCTCTCATCCTCCACAAGGCCCTCTCCCGGCCTCTTCGCCTTCTCCCCGAACAGCGCCTCATTCCCAGCCCTCCACCCCTTCCTCAGGCTCCCCTTGATCCATCCCTCAATCTCTTCCTCCGTGATCTCCTTCGCAATCCGCTCCGCGCGCGCCTCATCCTCCGCGCTTAACTCCGCCCTTCTCATCCTCCCCGCGATACGGGGGTCGAGCACCACATCATCGAGCCACGTGCGCTCCTTGGTCAAGTCATCGAGCGGCTTGTGGATGGACTTGTGCCAATCCTGCTCCTCCTCCTTTAGCGTCGTGAGCTGCTCCGACTTGTCGGCCTCGTCGTTCACCACGCCATCGGTCCCATCCGCAGAGGGCGCGAAGGAATCACCTTCCGCACTGGAGGTAGTATGGTATGGCCGCGTGTTCGCGAGGATGACAGCTGCTACGTCGCGGCCGATTTGGTCGGCGAGACGGCGGCGCGTGAAGAAACGGTACATGCGTCTTGGGGTATTGAAGAATCCGAGGATGTGTGGGAAAGCAATTGAGACGGATGGGTCGAGTTCGTTAGGGAGAGTGGGCGCGGGAGTGGCGGCGGAGTAGGCGGCGGTGGAGATCCATGGCTTGGGCTGCGGGGGTTTGGCTGGCTTGCCGTCTGGCTTGAGGTCGGGGTTAATGGGAGCAGGGGGGACGTCGTCGGTGGATGTGTGGACAGTGATGCCGGGGAGAGTCTCGATAACTTCAGGTTCGGCAACTGGCTCCGCTGCCTCTACGGGCACTTCTGGTTTGGCAGGTTCCGTGACGGGACCAAGCCATCCTTCATGGATACCCCGTACGTATTCTTTCCAGGTGTTCCGCCCAATGACTATATCTCCCAGCGGACCCTCATATAATTTCGAGCCATTGGTAACGCGGGCAGCGAGGACGGGGTCGTCCTCTTGGATCTCGTTCGTGGCAAGCTGGCGCTCCTTTCGGATCTTCTCTGCCAATTCGGCGCGGACGTCGCCCTCTTTGCGCCCTTGGATGAACTCCCAGTCAAGACCCGAAGAGACCAGAACCGGCTTCACGTAGTCTTTGAAGTGGTCCTGGGCAATTCGTAGCCCATCTGTCGGAGGAGCCTCGAGGAAGACTGTGAGTTTCCTAGGCATCGATTTCGGATCGAGTGGTTCCTTGGCCAAGTGCTCGACAAGCTTGCTCCATTTCTTTTGCACCCTCCTCTGCTCTCTCTTATCATATACTATAAGCCCAGTAATAGTACCGGTTATTGAGAGGAATATAGACCAGTTTCGAGATGGTAATTTGAGCCGCATATTCGGCAGACCCATCATTTTCCATACTGGGTTCGGTGGGCGCACTGGTTTCGCATTTTTCGCTGCCGATTTAGGGATTTCCGCCTTTGGCGCTGAAGCTGAAGCCTAACAGCACGTTAGCCACTTGTTATGTGAAGGTAGGGGCGTCTAGATAGTACCTCCGGGTCAACTGGCTTCGAGTCCGCCATGCTGGGAACTGGGCGCGGCTGAAATCTCCGATTAAACATTATACAGTATTCGGAAGCCTTGGACCACGGACTTGTCGTGGCGTCTACGAGTCGGAACTTGAAGCGTGGTAAGGGCAAGTCGCGTTATGGCGCCTCTCAACGAC